GAATATTGAACGAATGGCATTGTGGAGCCAAATATATGATTCGTGCTAAATTGCTTTTTCGAATACGCTTACACACATTTATTGCAATAAAGCCGAAAATACAGTCATACTTGAATGTGCTAAATCTGATAAGTTAGAACAAAAATATTTTTTTTTTGTTCCAGTTCATAAGGGCACGGTATGCGCTTCTTAATTTCGAGGTTAAGTCAAACCATTGATTTTGAAATAAAATGAAGCCACAATCAAGTCTAATAAAATACCTCTAAAATTCATTTTTTTAGGACTGTAACTCTTTAGGCGGCATGTCCTAGCCAGGGCAAAAGTGGAGCTCCACTAAATTCCACTCAAAGTAAAAATATTATTATGAAGCATATTCTGGATGTGAAGGTAGAATTTACTAGTCCTTTGTAGAAATAATCTGTAGCTAAATAATATTAAGATTATAGTTTTTATAGGTTGGTGGAGATAAGAAATTATGACAAAAAGCATTAAATTTGCGTTGATTTTCAAATTGGCTTAAATATTTAGCTTTCTATTGATCAGGTTAGATATCTTTTGAAGACTAAAAAAATCATAGTAGGAAGAAACCCATTACTAAATGAAAAATAAAATAATAATCATTAACAGAAAAATAATTTACGGGCGATCTGCGATCGAAAAAAGGAAGGGGAGGGGCGTGTTTGAATTTCACAAAGTACTGGTACTGTGGAAAAAATTAAATTAATACTGTTGTAGGTAATGAAAAGATCTATAACCTGTGTGTATAGACTTTTTTCACATAACCTCAAAATATATGTGAAAAATTCAAATAACCAAGTTTTAGGTTTTTATTTCTATCTCGAAAAAAACTGTTTTTCTTCACGAAATTTGACTCAAACTTACTTTCCGAATATCGAAATCAAATTTTTTTAAAGCGTAAGTAATCTGTATGATTGCTGAGATCTCTTCTTTCTGATGCTATTAAAAATCCATTCATTGCTTGAATAAATTTGCTCAGAATATGCCAAAAAGAGTCCCATTGTTACACTGAAACGCCATAGAGCCATGATTGATTACTTTTTCGTGCCTGAATTGGAGGAAGGGTATTCTTTTTTATTTAGTGCGAAGTACAATCGATACAATTAAATTCTGAATTTAACATCATTAAAATGGCACCCACGGACCGATATCACACCGAACTGTCTATTTAATTGTTGTTCATTAATAATTTATGGATCCTCTTCGCATCAGAATCGACAGTTTTGTTTATTTACCGCACCATTCACATAAAATGTGGACGAAAAGTTGCAGTTGGAGAACAACTATTTTGATTATAAAATTGGATAATTTGTAAACGTTTGGCTATAGTATCTTGAAATTGTACAGATTACTGAATGCAATGAAAAAAATTACAGACATATTATAAATGACCGAAACGACACTTATGAATCATATCATATCATCACTCTTTTAAGCTAAGGGTTCACTACGATCATTGTCCTTAACAGAGCGAATATTCATAAGTGGAATAAAGACAACATTGATGGCTTTTTGAAGGGAATTATGCATCATAGAAATAATTATATGGTACATTAATTTCATGGCACATACTTTTGCTTCCCATTAGCATTTAGGTGATTGGTTGCCCAGGGTAAAAAAACTTCACATGTGACAATCTCGAATTTATCCTATAAAAAAAATTACGTGTGTTTGTCCGCGATGGACTTCTAAACTGCTGAGCCGATTTTAGCAAAATTTAGCACACTGTGTCCAGTTTGAGGCAAATTAGAAGACAGGATATCCCAAACAACTTGTAAATAAGAAATACAGTGAAAGCTGTATTAAATGGACGCTCTATTAAGCGGACAATTCTAATAACTGAACAAAAAAGCTGGTTCGTCAGTATCTGTTATGGGAAATTTCACTGTATATATTTCTAAATATATGCATGTATTCGAAACTTTTTATGTTTATGATTATGGTGATTGGGGTTAGGAAATTTCAAATGTAATTATAATTTTCAGTAAAATACCAAGTATTAAGGGAAATAAGAAAATTGTTTGGTTAGCTGCCTTTTGTCAGTTAAGCTCTAGTAAACTTAACCAAGGTTAAGAACATTTTTAACTACAATTGACAGATGCTGTTAACCTACCTGAAAAAACAACCTTAAATTTGTTATTTTTTCCATTGACATTAATTCGTATAAACATATTCAAAATTAAACCTCAAGTACAATCCCTTGGATTCTTATACCGACAAAAACTTTTTCACTTTATTCGTAAATGAAATTTTCATTGTATTGAATAGTTTATTGATTGAATAATAGTATAAAATGTATACCATAGYAACGCGTAGTCTGATCCGCTAGTACTATATAAAATGTTTATTATTATTATTTTGACAAAAATATTTCACTATMAACAGCCCTGAGTAAAATGAGCCTTTGTTCGATAGTTAGGTTTCAGCGACCCGACAGATTCTTTTATAATATCTTGAAGATTCAACAGAGATATATTCCTCTGTGGTCGGGTCCTTTGTTGCATCTTCTGTGCCTTCATGGAAAAGCTTATAACCACTTTGGATAAAAAAAAGCATAAACTTAAAATTTTAAACAAACATTTTCGTTTTCAACTAGTGTTTACTTACGTCTCAAACAAATGTCATTAGCTTACAGTTAGCAACCTAACAAAGTAGATTTTTTATAAGATAAACACTAACTTCCTGTGAATGTAAAATTATGCTCCTGCATCTCGGCAATATTAATTAAATTTTTTCGCGCCAAACTTGATCAAAAAATATATTTATCTATTTTGAAAAATGAACTAAAGCTTTAATATTAATTTATAGATTAACAAGTAAGGAAGGGCTAAGTTCGGGTGTCACCGAACATTTTATACTCTCGCATGATAAAGTGATAATCGAGATTTCAGGCGT